ACAACTTCTACAGACGATGATAGGACAAAGATAGTAAACCTATCTTTAATCCCTCTTGATTCTGAAACTACGAATCTCTTAGAGAAGGGGTTACATTTTTCACTAGATAATGAAGGAAACAGTCTTGGTGATATTCTGGTGGAAATTTTCAACATAACGGATAAATTTCCAGAAGATATAAGGCGGGAGATGGAACTGGAAATAATCTCACGGATCCTGACACATCAAGAACCTATAAAATGGAGCAGATTAGCTGCTATTCGGAAAAAATTACAAAAGAATGATCGAATAATTCTTAAGCGGATAAGGGGGGGCAACGGTTGTAGTGGACAAGAAACAATACAAGGAGAAAATGGAAAGTATCCTTGGCGACCGGAACACTTATCAAATATTAAGGAAGGATCCAATCATAAAGATCAAAGGGACGCTGAAGAATATGCTCAAGGAAATGCATAATAATGGGGAAATTGACAAATGGAGGATGAAATCTTTATTCAAAAATCATGCAAGGCCACCGACAGCCTACGGACTACCAAAGATACACAAGGAAGGAAATCCGCTAAGAATAATAGTCAACAACAAGCACGGAGCAATACACAAACTAGCGAAATTCATTTGCTTGAAGCTCAAGAAAGTAAATGACAGACTCTCGAATACCGTCATGAATTCATATGAATTTTCTCAAAGGATCCAGAACATTTGGTTAGTTGGGTCTGAGCTGTTGGTGAGTTTCGATGTACAATCCATGTACACAAACATCTCAGGTGAGAAGGCGGTAAGCGCCTTGCTGGAGATTTTGGAGCGAGAAGAGGATATCTTGGAGGCAGAACGGATACGGAAAGAATCGTCAACACGATTAATCAACCTGACAGTAAGGACCAGATATTTTACATTTAACGGCAGTATCTACGAGCAAATATTTGGAGTACCGATGGGATCTCCACTGTCACCTGTTTTGGCAAATATGTACATGGACAAGTTGGAAAGGGAATTCGTGAAGTCACCACTGCAACCAAGAGTGCTTATGCGATATTTAGATGACTACTTTGCACTCTGGTCACATGGTAAGGAAAATCTAAATGAATTTCTCAATTTTATTAACCAACTTGATGAAAGAATTAAATTCACAATGGAGGTGGAGGAGAATGAACGACTACCTTTTCTGGATGTTAAAATCATGCGCTCCAAGGGGACACTCATGAGGAGACTATACAGAAAGAATTCCTATGTGGGAATAATCCTTAATTTTCAGGACA